TTTGAAAATTTGAAGTAATTACTGCAATTGAGCTTTTAAATATTAAACAATTTCATGAATAGGTGTGTCAGCCATATTCTGATCGCACATAATAGATGAAATCTGTTTTGCTTGCATTTCAAAAGGAAAGAATGGGTGTGAGAGAAAAAACTTCCTTATTTCTGTGAACCGTGTGTTCTCAAAGCATTGTTGACAATTTGTTGTAAATACACAGCAGCAGTAAAAAAGGGAAAATACCGTGCTTAAGAAGTTGATCTATTTATAAAGTCTTTATCATAAATACATGGTAGTGGTAAAAAAGGATAAATAAGGGATATCCTTTCAAAGTTGATATTTTTGGAAAAATTCCCTATTGAAAATACATTGCAATGGTGAAAAAAGGGAAAAGCACTCAATGCCTTAAAATAGGTGCCCTGTACTTAAGTATTGTAAAAACCCCTCCTATCCCATCTGCTTAGCTTTTACAATGGTTTTATGATGTTATGCTCATTTGTAAGTATGGTTTATTATATATGGTTACTTAGAGGCCACCACAGAAGATGAATAAACCAGATGACGTGAGGAAACATTAACCCAGCTTGCCTTGTTATAATATAGGTTAATGTCCCTTGCCATTGCCCTTAACAGATGAGCTGTACCATAGGGCTGAATCCAGTAGATTGGTTATATTGCCTTATTTGGCTGATGTTTTAGCTTTAGAATAGATATAAGAAAAAACAGGCAGATTACTTAAAATTTGGCATATTGAATTCACTCTACCATAATTCTATTTTAGTCATATAATGGTATTCTGTGATACAGTATTTTTCCACCAAATCGAGTTCACTGTCTGATTTGCCTAGAGAATTTTTTTTCTTACTGAGGAATTATTGCTTGAACTATCACTGCACGTGAAGGTCGATGTTTTGTTTCCTTGTTACAGGTATCCTGCAATTTCTTGCATGAAGTTGTGGGAAGCTAAGGTTTTAGACCTTGTGAAGTTCATAGGCTCAGAATATACTTTAATTTTAGGGATTTTATTGTTTTTATGTATGAATTGGAAAAGATAAGTAGCTTTACAGGGAAAAAATGAACAGACGAAAAAAAATGACTTTGTGACATTAACAAACATGTAAACTTTGCCTTTAGGAAGTTTTCTTATCAGACAAATGATGACATGGCAAGTATGAGCAAGCATTTTGGATGTCTATCTAGGAGATAAATTGATTGTAATGTTTTGCAAAAATGCATAAAAATTGGTAATTCAATAGAGGTTGACAAGTATTAAAAGAGTGGTGTCACAATTATACTGCAGTGGTGAAAAAAAAAGAATTCTCCATGTCAAGGAGTTATAATACAAGTACTTGTATATGGTAATGCATTCTTGCCAACATTCCTTCTACTAGTTAGCTGATGTATTACCAAAACCCTCCCTTTCAATCCCTCCCATCTTTTTAGGATGACATTTTTGGGAATTGTTACTTCATGATCATGTATAAGAATAGGGAAATGAGTCACAATCTGTCCTTGTCGGGAAGGCCAAATACGAGTACCTGAAAGCCATCAATGAAAAATGAGAAAACCAGATTACATGGACTATTCATGGTGATCTATTAACCCCATTTGCCTGGTCCTGAGAGATGTTAGTAGATGCCCCTTGCCTGCAGCAGATAAGCTGTGCCATAGTGTATAATTCAATATAGATTGGTTATTGTTGTAGATAAGAGATAGATATAAAATATAATAGAAGGGAACATGGTGCTAGAGCAAATATATTATAGTTATTGACAATTACTATCAAGTTATTATCAAAAAGTGAAGTTATGAAATGGTAAGGATGTTAATTTACTATATATATCTGTAAATTTTATTTAGGGAATTCAAATTACATATGGCATCAGTAAAACCTTCCTTTTCTATGCTTGTGAGAGCAGAAGTTATTTGACAAGCATCTTTAGTTGACAGCAATAGATAAAAGTAAAAAGATGAATTATTTTACTACACTTAAGTCTGCAATAGATATTAATTGTCATCAGTAGTGCCAGTCACTTCTGAGTTTTCAGGTTTCAGTATATTGAGAAAATTGGCTAAAAAATGCCATTTGAAAACAATAATGTTCATTACAAGAGTTAAAGTAAAGGATCATTCGAATAAATTTGAAAAATGAATGGACAAAGATAATAAAAAGTAGATTCCGTAAATTCTTGGTGACCCATCAAGTGTAGTCTGCAATCATTGACTTTGATAAATCAGAGGATCAATAGTCTGACTTGTCTTCTTGTTTGGCTGATGATAAATCTGAAAGCCAACTAGCGTGATAGTGACAGTGTTGGTGAAATGCTATTGCTTTCTTCTGCTCAAATACAAAGTCAAATAGTGAAGGCAGGTAAGCACTTTGGATGAAATGCATGCTGTTATGAATCCATGTACGTATTACTTTATCACCACTCAGACATTAACTTCAATTTTCAACAATCAGTATGTTTCTTGAAAGTTCGTAATGTTTTTCCTACAATTGTCTTTAAAGTGAATTTTTGGCAAATGAACATTGAAAATAGAAACAGTAGCCAAAATACCTTGGATTTATAACATCTTGGGGGGGGGGGTATTTGGGCCTACAATATCACGACAGGGCCAGCAATCCCTAGATTAAAGCAGGCTCTTGCATCTCTAATACCAAACAAGTTTTCAACATGAATGCCTCTATATGCCAAAAGAAAAAAATGTACTTATGCCATTATTTTTATTATTCCTTTAGGGACTTTGAAAAGAAAAAGAAAAGAGATTCCACCTTTTCCTTAATTATACACATTATCTCACAGCAGTACCATTACATGAATGGCATGTTATGTCGAACAAGCCAAGCATAATATAGAACTAATTTAAATTTTGTATTGACATTACATGACTTGAATGTTGAAAGATTAAATTAGATTTAGGTAAAAAAACTTTGAAATGTGTACAACATTTACCTCTAAGATTTATGGACTGTCAGGGAAAGGAACAGACCTGATTGGCACTTTTTGGTTGTCATGGGATCTCTGACTGATGCAAATGAAGGAAGAAGACTACTTTCATCTTTTCAATTTTAGTATCACAGCATACCAGGACACTGACAGGTGCTTAGTGATGGTATACTGGCCTCTGCTAATAAAGGAGGTGGTATTTTCATAGGCTTTTGTAAAAGTCTGTTTCTCAGTCGACAGAATCGCTATCTCAGAAAGTTTCCTTCAGATCTTAGTGACATTTTCAGATTAGGCAGTTACTCAAGAGGGAAAGAATCAGTTGCAGTTTCAAGTGAATCCAGGTACTCTAATTTTTTTAGAATAATGTCATTGTCCTTTGCCATATTTTTCAGTGGCAGCAATCTGGGCTCTTAGACTGCCTCCTAGTTTCAGATATTGCAAGTGGTGTGTGTTCTGTGACAGCTAGATTATTCCTTGTTATTTTCAAAAAAATATATATTTTGGAACACTTTAAAGAACACAGGTTAATTATTTTTCTTCCCAGGGTCCGCAAGATGAGATATCACCCTGGCTGGACTGGCACTCCAAAGTAAGTTATGCTAGAACTAAGTATCATGCAAATTGATCCAATTGTCATTTGAAACTGTGAGGTGCACTTTTATGTTGTTTAAATCCTTTATACTTTTAAATAATGGGACATGGTGCGAACATTCTAGACATTTAAGTTCCTTATTGCTAAAGTCAGCTGAAAATTTTTGGTGCTGATCCAGCCGTGTCCCATAATTTACTTCGTAATAAAAAATCTTTAGTCTTTATTTTCTCTCTAAGTATTAAGACTTAAAAACATTGTATCTGGGTCAATGTGAAATTCGTGTACCATTTTCTTCCAGTAGGTCATGATTTGTTATTCTAACGGGGCATGCGCCTGTTTTGCCTTTTTAATAATAATATATGCATCCTGGTTTATGACCTGTATTTTGCCTTATCCGCACCAATGATTTTTTTTCAAGATACACTGCTACATCTATAGATATGACAACATTTCACTTAGGAACACAACATTAACAAAAAATATTTATAAATTATACATAAGTTTTCTAACGTAAATTCTTTAATTTACTATTATTATATTTTAGGGCTGAGAAAGCCAAAAAGAATGCCAAGGACAGGAGGGATAAAGAAAATGATGGTCTTGAGAAGTTGAAAAAAGTGTTGCCCCTTTCCAGCAATGTAATATCCACACTAGATAAGCTCTCCACCATGCGTCTGTCAGTAGCATACTTATGGTTGAAGAAAAAATTGGAGGAGGGTATGTAGATTCAACAGAATAGTTTCTTCATGTCACTTGTGTAAAGAAAGAGGGTATAAAAAGTAATTTTTTTATAAATATTGGGAGGCAAATAAAAACAGTGCTGTCCTGGAGCTATGTCAACAGCATTAGTTTGCCCTCTTGAACAGATTGGTATTATACTCTTTCTGAATAGACTAAATGTTTTTTTACCTGTGAGACACAATGTTCATCCTTTCATAATAGGACCTCTATTCAAGACTGATCCTGTGATGAGGTTTCAAAATGTCATGCCTCATAGGTAAAAGACTTAAAGTCTCTTAAGAAATGATTTCCTTTTTTGTCGGTATGTGGGATGCAACCACTGAAATTGACCCAAATCAGAATGTAGGTGGAAGGGAGTACTCATGCAGACAGATTTGTGGGCCACCTTTAGATGCTGAGACTATTTGAACCTCTCATATCAAACTTTAACTCATACAAGGAATACGTGTATCAGGCCTGTAGCCAGGGGGGGTTCTGAGGGTTTGAAAAAAACGTCCCTTTTGCTGGGAAGAGGTCCACTCTGGGTAAAATTTGATCTAGGTATATGAAGTTTTTATGGAAAAAGGTCCACTTTTCAGAAAAAGAACCCCCCCCTTTTGAAATTGCTGGTTACGGGCCTGTGTATACCCACATGGTTTGATATGGGCACCCCCACATACAAACTCTCCTTTAATATTCATCACAGCAAGAAAGTTTTGATGTTAATTTCACAGTCTTGTATGGTCTATTTGTTACCTTGAGATCATTCTTCACATGTGCAGCCAGTGCTCATCTACTGCAGTGGAGAAAGAGTCACAAGTAGGGTGCATTCAAATAAACCCATCGTACTACCCAGATGGATCTAAGGCACCATTCACATGAAAAATCTAAATTCAAAAAATCCAAAAATCTATTGGCGAAATCTAGTGATCACGATCTGTGCCCCGAATACCCCGCAGTGTAATTAACTAGCAGAGCGAGAGAGTTACTTCCAAAGCTATAATTAATTCTTGGCTGCGCTCAGAAGAGATTCTGACACCTTGACGCATGCGCAGTAATAAGTTAGAGAGAAAGAAATGGCAGTCGTGGTTGCTTTGAAAAATGCGTTTGTCGATTTTGTGCAACAACAAGACAAAGAAGATGAGGTCCATATACACATGACATGAGTGCAATCTGATGAACTCCGCAGTTTAGAGATACTACTGCGCATGCGTCAAGGTGCCAGAATCTCCTCCGAGCACAGCTGAGAATTAATTACAGCTTTGGAAGTAACTCACTCACTCTGCTAGTTAATTACGCCGTGGGGTATTCAGGGCACAGACCGTGATCACTAGATACCACCAATGGATTTTTAGATTTTTAGAATTTAGATTTTTCATGTGAACGGTGCCTAGCTCTGTGGGAGATTCTCCCAAAGTGCAATCACTGTAATCAGTTTAAATGTCTGACACCCCTCCATGAGTTTCTAGGGGGTAATTAACTAATAAGCTACTCAAGGAGGTTTGTCAGAAAATTTAGCTGATTGCACAGAATGCTCTTAACAAGAGTTCCCCCCGCAAAGTTGGTATGATGTTTGAATCTGAACTTGATCTTACTTTGAAACTCGGGGGTGATACTGGTAGTCTTGTATTGAATGCCTCTCCCTTCCCTCTCTTTCTCCCCCCTCTCTCTTTCTCTCTCTCTTTCTCTCTCTCTCTTTCTCTCTCTCATAGTAGTTTTTATTGTATGACAGACAGTAAGCATTAAATATTTTCAGTGTCCTTTATTTTAATTTTACGATTATTTATTACAGAAAAAGAGAGTGCTTGTCTAGATGCCAATGGAAATACGTGTAGCACAGCTGGTAGGTGAATTGAATAAGACAGTAATAAAAAATGCATTGATGTAAAATCTTCTGAACCTTTAAAATGATGTGTTTTGTTTATAATTGTACCACCAGCGTTAGCGCTGGCGGTACACATGGTTTTAGTCCCGTCCGGATCGTTCCGCCGGCTCCGCTGGACGGCTACCGTTACCGCTTCTCCTCCTAGACGGTAAGGGCCCCCGTACCCATCTCTTGGATTTAGGTCACCTATAATCTCAACTACTTCCACGTAAAATTTGGGCTTTGTCGGTTTTGGGGTCTAGGTGTGGCACTCATTGCAATGCACCCTTGTCTAAAAATGGCAAAATTAAATGCTAATTAACTANAAATTGACCTTTGACCTACCTTACAATGAACTTAACTTTGATTTTACCATTTTTAGTCATATATATATTTTTTGCATATTTTGAAAATTCTTGTTGATTGCATTTTTACAGCTTGTCAAGCACAAGACTGGTGGCTGTGTCCCTTATTTTGTGTATGTGGGGGTCTATACGAATGCGCTTGCTCCAGCTGGTGGTACAATATTCGGAGGCGGTATCGCCTCTCTGATCCTCTAGTTGAATCCAGCTTTGAGCAGTGTATTTGAAAAGAATTTCCAAAAAAAAAAAAAAAAATGAGAAAAAATTAACATTTCTTAATTTTTGGTATATGCTTTGTGATACTTGAAAAAATGTTCAAAAGGAATTAAATTGAGGACATGTACTCTGAAATATAGGGTAGTTTGCTTTGAAGTGCAGAATGATACACAAAATCGAATATTTGTGCTCATGTAGGCAATGTTATTTGGTTACTTATTACTTAATACAAAGGGACTAAGCTGATCAAAATATAGATAACAGGTACTGGTGGCATTGTTGTAGGTGTCATTTTTAGCTGTTGAAGTGCCTGGAAGCACATAATACTAATTAGGTTAATTATTGGGTATAGATAGCAATTAGGTTGGATAACTTTATAACTGCTGCAGATAAAATCACCACATTTTCCAAGTTATTTTCAAAGGTGTGAAAAACAATTGGGTGCAACTGATTTTCGATAAGATGTTCAGGGTCATTAATATTATATTTATATAATATATAATTAATATATATAATATAATAATATTAATAATGAAAATTGGTGTTATTGAATTTTATTTCGGATAAAATCTAAACCATGATTGTGAAAAAAAAATCAGTCACATCCCACTGTAGAACTCATGCACAGCCTCTGTTAGCCCTTGGAATTTTTATGTTATGAGCCCAGGTAATAAAGAAAGTCAAGAAACTTTAAAAATAACACATAATGTCATCAACAAAATAAACATACTTTATCAAAAGGCAAGTAAAGTCCATGAACATTATATGATGATATTATAAAAACCAGTAGGACTTAAAGGCATTTTAGCCTGCTTTTGGCTTATGATTTATATGCTGTATGTCCTCAAGGGTGAAAGGGTCCCTTTTTACCATATTCATGTGGTTAAATTGAGGTTAAGACAGGTCATACACTTGAGTGACCTGTCTGGACCTCATTTTAACTACATGAGGTTAAAGCAAGCCGTACACAAGTATGGTAACTAAACCACATACATTTACATAGTTTTTTAACATATGAGAAATAACCAGAGTATGTCCTACAAAACACACGCACAAACACACACCTAACCTTTTTGCATTGTAAAACATGATTTAAGTGCAATTAAAATTAAAAAAGAAAAATCACATCTTGTTTCCATTTTTAATTTCTGTTATAGTCTGGTAGATGTTGTACTTTAAGTTTTCTCAAATGAAAATAAAAATTTCCAGGATTGTATTCCTGCAGCAAGTTTTTCATCACTCACTTAAAACAGATTTTACTTGTTATTGAAAGTATGATATTTATCTCTCTTAATGAATATAGATGAAAATTCATTCTGTTAATGTCATATCTATTTTTCAGTGCAGTCCAATGACCTTGCCTCCAGAATGCTGCAAGGACACGAGCTGTTGAAATGTTTCGACTCTTTCTTGATTTATGTGCACAAGAATGGACAGATAGCTTACGTGTCTGAACAGGTGGAGGATTATTTGGGTTTCAAACAGGTACATGTATTGTCATGACACTTCACGATTTTATGAACCAAATATACCAAATGAACCCAGACTAGCTTGCATGACACAGAAATGTAATCTTTTTAAAATATATGATTTCTATAAAAAATTAAAAGGTTTAAATGTTTTGCTTATAATAAAGTCATTCTTATTATGTGTTATTATTAATGTAATGTTTTGGAGAGAATGCAGGCAGCATGTTCTTTTGCTGATTGTTTAAGTAGCAAGCATTTCTCCTTCATAAGCCATATTTGGTTGGTATCAATAAAACAAACTTAGCAGTGAGAAGGATTCAGCCAAGTAAATCATTAATGTTGAGATTAATAAGGGATGCAGTTTCAGTCTCAAAAGACTTCAAGGTAGGAAAATGTGATCAATGATTCAATGTCAAACAGTGCATTTTCATAGATTTGTGTTCGCAGAAAAAATAGATATAACTGTCAGTGACAGATAGGTGCATGGTCACAGAGAATGATTCCTTGGTAGATATGTTATTTGATATTTGCCATTATTGGGTCTTTAGTGAATAAGATTTCAGCTTGTATTGGGTTTAGGTAATCAAGCTTTGCACGCCATTATAAAAACCTGTATGTAATGATGTATGGTTATGAAGCTTGGTTTTGTAAGTAATAATCCTTAGTAGATAGAGGCACTGAATAAAAAATAATATTAAAATTTATATTAAATGTTTTATTCTCCATTACAGACAGCAATGATAGGGAAACATATTTTTGAGTTTGTGTTGGAGCAAGACCATAGAGAGCTGAGGAAACAATTTATTGTGAAGCCATACAAAAAGACTGAAAGCAATGGTATGTTTATAATATTGACAAATTATTTTGATGTTTTTTTTATTAAGCTGGTTATGTGCTTTGATCAGTTTTATTTATTACTTTAGGGGAGAAATCCAAGGCATAGCGGAAAGAATATTGTTAATGTTCATATTGTCCAGCTGTTTGTCACAACCAGACTCCACTAAAAGAATTAAAAACACAATGGTGTTCTCATGGCAATTGATCTATCATTTCCCTTTGTTACTATGTTATATTAAATGAAAGTCTGACTGATATCCTGAAGAAAAAATACCATATTTAGCATGATACAGCATAATTGAAAATTCTTATATTGTGGCATATGCTATTCAGAATAATTTCACAATTTTCAGTTACGCTTAATGCATTTTTTCTGGCAATTTTCTTCCAGGCACAACTATCACAACATACTGCCAAAACCGAGAATTCTGTGTACATATGAACTGCCAAATAATAGATAAGGAAAAGAATAGCAAGTCAAGAGGCCAACTGGTGAGTAGCTGCTGCTTTGATTAGTTTAACCAGGCCCTTATTTACCTAAATTGCAATCTTTCACGTTGGATAATTACCGAGGAAGGTTATTTAATTGTTATATTATTGACTTCTTGGAAATTATTGATTGGAAATATATTGAAGATTCATCAAAGGTGGGCTGTTTTTTGGTTCATTGCATTTATAGGAAATTGTTGTTCAGATAAATGTCAGTGTCAAAGATCGTTTTCTTGTAAGGAATTGTTCGAGTTACCAGGATAATGACTACTTATGGTTAGATTTGAAATAAATTTGGGATCTAAGGACAATATTATTGCTATTCCTGTTTGCAATAATACACCAGGCTGCCCACTTTACATGCACATGCACACATACTTACATAAGGACACACACATTTAAAGAAAAATCATTTAATTTGTTAATTTTTCATGTCCTTGAATAATTCATTGTGAGCAGAAAAAGACGAGGGGAAACTATAATCAAATCATCGTTACTGTACAAGCACATTACTTGCCTCATTGTGTTGAAGATAGTTTAATGTCCATGACCTCACTTGCATGCATGTCTATGGCTTTTACACCAGTTTGATGTCATACACGTCGTAAATCCTCATAAAAATTATTTCAGAAATTAAATGTCTCAATTTTTCCATATGGTAGTAAATATATTTTATTGCACACATAAATAAGTTCACATAAATGCAAGTTGCTTATTTACCTTCAGATGGTACAGTGGACAGGCCGCTTGAAAATTAAGAATTCCTTGAAACCAGCTGGATTAATATGCATGTGCCGTCCAATATATGGAGATCCAATGATGGAAATCCGGACTCAAGGAAATGCTTTCTCATCTCATCACAGTCTTGATCTCAAATACGTTGATGTAGATCCAAGGTAAGATGTAACTGTGTTTATTTAAAGCCCGACAGTGAGCAATAGACCTTGATATAGCAATTTAATTTTCCTGTTAATTTTCAACACTGTTAACTTAATTACCAAGGTATACCATATCCAAACCATTCTCAGAATTATGGTCTGTATACCTGTTTTTTTTTTTATTTTTTATTTTTTTTTTATTTAAAGTTTATAGTTTTTTAGCCACTCTAGGGATGAAACTTGAAAAATGAGCTAACAGATCATTAATTTCTCAACTTTTTAATTTTTTTGTATACTAATGTATGAAGGACTAATGCGCATTGTATGCAGTTAAAGGAACCTACCATAGCCCTGTCAAATATTTTAATTTTTCAATATGATTTTTCTCTACATCAGTGTGAATTTGGTGACAATTGTGAAATATTTTTCAATTTTTCAATGTCTTTTCCCAAAATTATCTCAGTCTTTCTTAGCAAAATGAATATATTTGCTTCCATTAGCCTAGGGTAACTGAAATAGCAACTGAAACTAGAATATCAAAATTGACTTATATTGTCTTTCTGCATACAAGAAAGTGAATAACATTGTCTTTCTGAATGTACAAGAAAGTTTTATTCACTTCTATATGTATAACACTCATAGTTATAACAGATTTGTCATATTACTAGTCATTGTATTAGTTTTGAAATGTCACAAACATGAAGCCATTGATGCATGATTTAAGAGGTAAAGTAAGTATAAAAATTAAACTTATGTATCAGCATACACTGGTGAAAAAGTACAACTTGACAGATGTATGCACAATGAGATGACACTGGACTACAAGCAAATTTTATAAATAATATGGTGTACAGCATGTATGTAAATATTACTTTTTACTTTCACTTTTGCAAGCTTGAACAGTAGAGCTTAGCCTTTCGACAGGATGCAATGTAGTAATGTTTCAACATGGCATTTCCTATAGCAGTATATGTAGCACAAATTATGATGTAAGATCAACAGAAGGGAGACTAGTGAAAAGTTATTTTGTACATGAAAGGTGTACAGAAAATGACAATATTTGAAAAACAGATAAGGGGATTATGGTCATGACTGTTTCACAATACACTGGTATTTGAAAAACAGCCAATTTATTTTAATTAAAATAAAAGTGTTAGTGCAGCAACATTTTAGTAATGAGATCAAGGCATATTAAACATTTCATTTATTTATTTATTTACAAGTGCATCTTTACAATGATTATACACATATGACTTAACAAGCAATACATTGTTTACTGTAACAGTACCAAAAGTACAGTAAGAATTAAAAGTTGTTTTCACCCAGCTTCATATTCAAACAATATTTCAATCAATAATCACTTTAATGTAAATGTAAGTTCACCGCAGCTTTAATTTGCACTGCATATCAAATTAGGTAACATAAAATATTTCATCATTTCGTAAGTAAAAACATTCACCACACCATTTCTTTAATAGAATGATATAATATCATTTTTAAAAAATAAAACAAGTATAATAAATATTCCATTTCTTTGATAGAAAAAAAAAAAACTAGTTTCTTTAATAGAATGATATTATACCATTTTCTTTAATTAAACAAGTATGATAAATATTCCATTTCTTCGATAGAAAAAAAAAAAAAAAACTACACCAGTCACTGTATTCTGTCCCAGTGTTATATGTATAACCCTGAGTTATGCTTAGCCAACTTCTGGTCATGTGACCATGTTTGTGTCCTATATTTGGAGATAGCAGCGTGACCTGGAGTTGAACAAATCTACGGCNGGGTTTTTGTAGCACAAAAAAGAGCGTAGGTTCGACAGGAACCTAAGGAGATTTTCTTTCGGTGTGAGAAGTCATTGAAGATGGAGTCTGATCCTGCTATACCAGGTTCAGTCATGATGAGAGAGGGTAAGTGGTGGTCGGTAGTTAACGTTAGCCAGTGGCGATCTGACTGACCAGAGCCCAGAGGGATTACAGGTTGTTGTGACCTACTCTCTGTCACTGGCTACCCTTGTTGTGATCTTTCCTCCTTCAAAATGCTCTCATTCTTTAATATTTGAGAGGGCTCGTGGCTGTTTTTGCAATCTGAGATTGTATCTTTTGTTTTAAGGCGTACACATTAACTTAATTTGAATGAATTTTCACACAGACGCCCGAATCCTAACACGCAGTGAGTTTGATTATGCCTTTTGTAAACAATTGTGATTACTCAATGTGTCCACCGAGAAACATGTTTGTCTGCTTCTCTAAGGGTTAAAATGCATACAGTGGAAAAATAAAAACTGTGTACGATACCAACAAAAGTCTCCCTTAATGTATCTGAAATATTAATGTTGATATTAATTTTGATATGCTAAGCCACATAGATACACTGAATGGGTTAACGATATGTAGTCCTACAAGAGTAACATTTAAATTGTGTTATCAACCAACTGTAACCAGACATCGGGTTATTTTCTTTATCAGTTATTAGTTTAATGACCCTGGCTGCATTAATTATTAAGGAAGTCTTGCACAGTTATTTTTTAAGGAAGTATTTTCTTTACAAAATACACGGTTGTAATTAAAATCTGTGGAAAATGTGATACATATTTTCAGTTATGTTAAACTTTTTAATATCAGAATTTAGGAAAGTGAAATATATTAATTATAAATAAAGAGATATCATATCTACCTTTTCACCTTCATTATCTGTTAGCCTGACCCATTATCAATATATTTAATGTGTACCTTACTCATTTATCATCATGATAATTATATCTTTAAAATTTACATCTGTTCTAAAAGTATTCACTGGACTGTGTTGAAACAGATCTATATTATATCATATTAGATATATGAAATAACCAACTTTCATATAGATTGTAAATGATATAATATATATTATGTTGTACAATATAAGTGGAATTTTAATTGTGATATTGCTGTACAACCCAGAATTATACACAGTCAATTTTATATTTGACCTGAGGAGTGTTCCCCAGCAGTGCTTGTGTTTAGGAATGAAAAAGAGAAGAAAACTACGTTGTATAGCAGCGGTGCCATGTACATGGGGTAGAAAGCTCCTTAGTATTGACAAGTGTGATGATGTAGTACTTCTTTTACTAGCCTGCTGAAAATAACACAAACGTCAAGTTACATTAAGTTCATTGCTTGAAGGCCTAAGGTAACTCATTTGGCAATGAAAGGGCTCAAGCATTTCTGATATGCCAGATGCTCACACCTCACAGTTATTTGCCAGAGAAGAAAAGAACCAAAGTTGGGGAAGGCCATATGTGGTGTATAATCATCATCATCATGAATGGTTGGTTCAGATGTGAAAACCACATGCAATACTGGAATAGATTTTGCTCTTCTGAATAAGGAGAGGCATTGATTTTGAGGAATCTAGAGGAAATTATCAAGTCGTAATATGTTTGAAACATTTCATAGACTGGGTAGTGTTGAGTACTGTCAGCATAAAGAAGTCAGTAAAATGCTGCAGATGATTGAACTGAAAATTAAAAAAAAATGTCAGTTAATCGTCATTTTATTTCAAAATAGTGATGTGGCTAATTTTTTATAGCTACATAGTTTCATAGTGAAAATTCAATACTAGCACTTGCAGAGAGAGAAGTTTGTTGACCTATCAACATATGCAGGCGCATGAACAGGTGTGCGTGGGTACCCCTATCCCCAACTCACCTACATATTATTACTGGTGAATTTATACAATCCTCTATGAAAGAATAATAAAGCCTCGATATTTGGTGTTCATTTCAAAAGTTCACAAAGGTGACCCCTTTGCAACCTTATGCCCAATTCTTTTCACATTGGGTCATGAAGGGTTAGAAATCTGTGAGTGATATTGGCAATGAAAGACTGTATTTTCATTTTGTTAGTGGTCTGGACTATATTCTTATTTTATTAGATAACTATTTTAACTAGCACTACAGTAATTTATTTTTGTCATAAGCAGGTTTCTGGTATTGGTGTTGTTAAATAAAATTCAGACCATTTACACGTGCACACTGTTTGATTTACCCCCCCTCCCACCACCATCACCACACACACACACATACACACTGCCTCATAAAAAAGCAGAAATTGAAAAGTTCTACTACATATCAGTTGGCTTATAGAATGGAAATTTTCTTGTAGAGGAATTTTTCTCCCTTGAGGACCATATTGAGCTTGTTTGTGGAATTTCAGTACCAATGAAGGGTCAACATGGACTTACTATATGTAGTTTTAAAAAAAAAATCAATGGTATTATGTAGACATAAGATGTTTGTTCAACTTCTCTGAATATATTTCATTTAATCATCAATTTGAAGAAGTTGATATAACATGCAAGTGACTATTATTGTTATTGGAACGTTGTTGCTTGCATTGGAATTTGACATGCATGTAGATTTTTATGTTTGTAGAATGTCAACAAATCAAAGCACTGTGAAATTTTTACTTGTGATAAAAATGTACTGAAATAGAACAAGCTCTTAGTATCATATAAAAACCTTAAGAAAAAGGGTTATTTGAGAGTATGATCATTTCCTTTTTTCACACGTCCTCATTTCCCATGAAGGAAAAAGGGAAATATTGAGATATAGTTAGCTATGTTGGAGGAATTATGTTATGGGTAAGAAAATAAAGGGGGATATCCCTTTGTCTTTTTTTATTTAACTAAGATTGCCATTCCAGTGAGTCAGTGATGCAATTCCGCTGAATGCCAATTTAATTCTCATTTTATAAAAACATGAATATTTAATTAATTTATTTATTTTTGCTTTATACATGTGTATATAAATTGCGTGTGTGTCTTTATGAGATGCATTATTATTTGCATCACCGAGTTCTGACTGGAATTGATAGAACCTACAGAGACACCTAAATCTTCATGTTTTGTCCATACAGCCTCTCACCATTGGCATACTTGTTATTTTGATGCCTAACAAGAATTATCCTGAATTAATTACCAAATCAAAGTCAGTCTCAATGTTTTTGTGCCCTATGGTATATTGTTGCAATACAGTTTACTCACAGTCAGAATACACACTCTGCTTGTTTTTCAAAAGTATTTGACATTTAATAATATTATCTTTTTATGGTATGTAATAATATTCCTAAATTTTTGTAGCAATACACATTGTTGAATTAGAGCATCATCCTTGACAAATACATGTATTTATGTGTAGAAAATGTGAACATGATGGAGCTAATCTAGATTGATCCAGTTTTCACTATGTAAACCTGCCCTGAAGATTTTTTTTTTTTTTTTTTGCTATTTGATGGAATGTAGCCCTCTATTTCATGATTTTTTAAATGTTGTAGCTGTATAAATATGTCATAATTACAGTAAATTTCTGGTTATTTACTCATCTGTGCTATTCTATCAGTGAAACTTATGACTTTTGAATGTGTCATTTGACAAATCAAGTTCCTGCTAATAACCTTTTTAATATAAGTTTCTCTTCAGAGCTCTGTTATGTTTTCAGGATAAAGGAAAGAAGAAAAGAAAAACATTTCTGGTACTCTGGCTCAAAAATGTAATGATAATTGAACATGAGTACTCCTTCATGGCTGCTGTTTTCTTGTTTTATTTTTGTTGGATCTTCTCCACCAATAAACTCAACACATATTTTGATTACACATAGACAGGCCTTCCCAACTACCAGACTCGGCACCTACGGGTCCAGTATAAACCGGTTTATCAGACCACACTACCAGTTTTCAAGGTGTGTGTCAGATCGCATTACAGAGTATCAGCCTCCACACCGATTTTGCCTGGTGCGCGATGTGATAGCAATGATCCTAAGCGGGGTTGGAAAGTAGTGCATCTCATCTAGATTCATGCGCTGCTGCAATTTTCTCTGTTTATGCTAAAATCTGACAGTATCGCAATTTTTAACATAAAATTTAGGTTCGGACATAGCCATTGATGTTTTGTAAATAAGAACTTGCAAACTTATATATTAATTTAGAAAAGAAGACATAATTTTGATAGCAGAAGCATATTCTGTCGGGGGTTAAATATTTTCGTGACTACCGGGATGGACGAGATTGAGGGCAGGGGTAATCCTAGAGAGGGGTGAGAAACGTCCATTGTTCTCGTCAGCGAGGCTGTCCTTTTTCAGGGTTTGTACGCACGGACAGAAAACTTAAGTATTGTGGGAACGTTACTAATGAAGCCACTGGTAGTACTAGTAGATATCAGCCTGTAGTCTTGAACAAGCGCCTCGATGACGAGTGAACAGTTGTCAAAAACAAAAGACCCAGGTGTGGTAGTTCAACTACTGTTGATGCGTGCCGCAACGACCAAACCTAATTGCTCCTCAAGGTCACAAAACAATAACCGGTACTGACGGCTAGGCTCGTCTTAATCATATAAGTAGCGCGTATCCACCCCCTGATTGAGGGAGTCGTCTGTTGTATTCATGCGACTCCTACTTGACGAAAACGAGGCGCGATACCCGTATGACAGGTAGGCTTACAGAATTTGTGATAGGGTATGATACTCTTTTATGCGATCTGACACACACCTTGAAAACGGGTAGTGTGGTCAGATATACCGGTTTATTCTGGACCCGTAGGTGCCGAGTCTGGTAGTTGGGAAGGCCTGTTTAGGGTTTCACGTCAATTATTGAAACTGGAGGCAAGATGGAGTGTTCTGATATATTTATTTGTGTATTTAACTGGTATGTATATTTACCCTGTGTTTCAAGTAGAGATTATTAATATATTTAATCAACTTAGCTAGGTGACATAAAAAAACACAATAGCAAACATTGGTTATTTGTTTTTGGTTTATAATTTTTATAAACAAAGATTCTAGTTTTACACAATCCCTTTTCTCCTGCATTGTAAGGCAGTAGAAAAAGAATGGATATCCCTTATATTGCAACTCTTAATTTTCACCATAGTTTGCTAGTGCACTTTAATTAACACTTGTTAATATGGATTTCATCCTTAATATCACTTCTCATATGAACATTCATTAATATCAGCTAACACCGTCGTGTTAAGATTGCTTTTTTAGCGAGCATACCACTAATTTCAGCCTGTCAGTGAGATCCACTGATGAGTTTCCAAAGGTGAATCAGTATAAAAATAACACTCAATTGATCTTGCTCCATTGTGGTGAAAAAACAATTGACATATTGCAATTCACTCCTTTGTAAGTGAAAAGAATGAAGGCATTTATATTATAGCTGTCTATAATTGTGGAAAGGAAATTCTGCAGGATTTTAATGCATTGTGGACTGCCATGATAGTCATCTGACACAGTGATGTATTGGGTATTGATCTGTATGGTGTACAGTACTGGATAGTCTCTACTGTGTCATTTATTCATAGGATATATGGTATAATAGGATGCTTTTTTGGTTGTATCTGTATAAGTCAGTTAGCCACTGGTTTTATGTCTAGAGTTAATGTGGTATCTATTGGATGATTGCTAAAATTGTTCCTTTTTTTAGTGGAGAAGTCAAATCGGTATTAAGGTTTGCCATTGTAATGGTGTAATTTTCATTATTGGATATATCTAACACACGCTGTGCATTTTAACTTGTGTTCCAGAACCATTCAGCTACTTTAGTGCCATTTCCTTTGTTGTCATAAGTTTTATACGTAGCATTGTGTAAACTATTTTTATTTCCTGCGTTTAGGATTCATGGCCTGGATGCCATAGCAGGGACTCAAACTGGTTATATTCCAAAACAGTGAACGTTTGAACTCTTGCATGGTGCACTTGTTAAGTTAGATATACCAGAGAAACTTCTACATAACCATTGGTCAATATAAAGTACATTTTTGACAATTCTTGTGCTTTTTGGTATTTCAGAGTCACGCAACTGCTTGGATATGAAAGAGAAGATCTGATTGGAAAACCTGTTTACCTGTTCCACTTTCCCCTGGATGCGAAAACTATTTCAGAGTGCCATCAAACCTGTAAGTATTGTGTATAGTTTTCATGTCTGAGTCATATAAATTATAATTCCACTTTTCCAGTTTACTTGTTGCTTTTTAGTTTTGGAGATTAGATAATATGGAAAATTGTCAGCAGAAATAGACAGGTCCAGCTCATTGGACTGTTTTCTAGCCCTGATATGAAATTTGAGATGGTGGGGATGGCATATGTAATCTAGTGTGTCTCCACACAGCTGGACTCTATGCATTTAGTCAGTGACAAAGTGCTGATTGTAACATTACGTAAAACACTTTACAGCCTGTTACATCCCTGGCTTAGCTACTGTGAGGGTAATGTTATATCCTACTTAGACTCACATGAACATGTATCCATCATCAAAACTGATTTATGCTTTTGGAAAATTACACAAACTTGTGGTTTCAAACTACTTTCAGTACGGTAGATTTATACTTATGCCAGTTTGAACCTAAAAAGCAATTCAGATATTAACAGTTATGTAATTGTCTCTACTCCAATGGCGCTTCCAGCATGAAGACCTTACTCCCCATCATTTCATTTTGTAACACAACATTTAAGAGGTAATCCGTGAGAAGGTTTGGTGAGTTACTAAGCAAAAGATATAGTGATCTACTGTTAAGTTTTAGACTCATGAATAATTAGTATTAATAATATTGATTGGGTTGTCTGCTGAGATCCATGGTGCTGTGCAGATTGATCTACAGTGCATAAGATGAATCTTGTCATCTTATCCTTGGATAAGGTTTGATTTCTGCCAGCCTTTTGTTGACAATTGGCAGCAAATATATGATTGGCATGGTAAACTTTGGTCAAATACTAATGTAGTTGAAAGGCGACAAGTCAACTGCATGTATCAAATTTTGAATATGAGGCAGTAAGGTGGCCCGTCTTGGTTCCGAAACTAGGGCTAAGGATGTCACTCTCTAGCCAAAGTCACTTCTAGCTGCCATTTTATATCGTAAAAGTACCTTTCAATAGATTTGTGATGGTTTTCAGGCAAAGTTTCAGAAAATTGTTTCAAATTAGCCTAGGATTTGTGTCAAGAGATACAGGTGAGGAGACCTGGATTGGCACAAGATATATATCTCAAAGCTGTCAGTTGTGCCAATTTTGGACTGCTCTTCCACAAAGAAAGAAAGACATAGACACGGAATACTGCAATCAATTATATGACCTCTTTATGGACAGATGGCAATTATCATGTGCAAAAATAACCCCCAGTCTTTCAATTTGACAAAAAACTGAGCCAAAATATTTGGATAAATCTGTGTAGGGAGATGAAGATATGCAAATATGAATGTATGAATATGAAAGCTGGACCAAGCTTTAATAAATCTTCAAAGTTGACACCTTTAGTCCTGTTAGACAGTTCTCTTGATAACTGAAGAAGCAGTTTATAAAATGAATGGTACTTTTTTAAAAGGCAGGGATTTGTTGCTTTTTTATTAGCTTTAGCTTGCTGGTTTGAGCCTAAATCAATAGAAAATATTGATATTTAATGTGTACTTCATTTTACTTTGTAATGATTCAGAATTAACACTTTAATTGGCCTAATAACAAACCAAAAGTTTAACCTTATTATAAATGGATTTTAAACACCCCCTCCCATGAAGTAAATGTTAATGCAGTTTAAATTTGACCAATATTTTACCCTATTAAGATGGTCTAATTTTTCATTTATTGGTTTTCATGTACAGACACCATATGTGCCTGTGTGTGTGTGTGTGTGTGTGTGTGTGTGTGTGTGTGAATATATATATATATATATATATATATATATATATTCTGATCATTGGGTCTGTCCATGTTGTTGCAGGTGCCATCCCCAGTGTCATCTGACACATTTGTTGTTCACCCTATGACTGCCAAACTATTTGTGTTTTACTTCAAATTTGCTGAGCGACTCTTTTAGTTAAAGAGGCAGGTTCTTTTCACATGATCAGATTATTTTTACAAAAGTTATAATTTACTAAAATGTGTCTGTATGTTTGCCTATTTTACTGATAAGTTAAATTCTTTTTGTGACCTTTTGTGATAAATGCAAGAATTCATACCAACAAGTATAGGCAGATAATAAGTTAATTTTTTTCATTTTAGTCATATGGGCTCATTAAATGTCATTCATTTCTATGAAATGAAGCAAATTAATGAATGATATAATAACAAAAATTGTGAAAATATGATTATCATATGAACAGGCAATTTTCTGAGGAATGGAAAAACTTGGTAGTAATACATTTTCATTGTCTTCCTACACTTAATTTGATCTCATGATTAAGAAAGGAATCCATGTGGGACCTGTTCCACAAAATAACTTCAGATGGAAATTGGTCCAAGCTTGAAGACAAAACTGTAAGGGACTATTCCCAAAACTTATGGCACTAACTGTGAATCGATTTATCTCCAAGGGGAATCTTGCTATATTGCAATCAACTTAATTGGCTTACATGTCTGCCACGCCTACTGAAGCTGCTAGGGGGTAGTTAATTATGGTTTAGCAGTTCAGTAGGCATGCCAGACATCTAAGCCGCTTAAGCTGAAAGCAATTTAGAGAGAAACCCCTTGGAGATAGATCGATCCTATTAGATCGATCTAGGTATGGGAACCCAACCTAAGTCTTCTTTGTCCCAATATAAATCAGAAGTGAGCTATTTATGTGAAATATTGTACGTGCCTATTTGATAACATGAATTAAATGGCTTCTGTTTTAGACCAATAATTACTCTTTTAGAAGACTTATCCTGATTTAAATAGACCAAATTTTGAGACCAAATTCAGTCTTAGTTTTTTTTTGTGCAACGTGAGGAAGTAGTACCTCTTCAGATCATCTAGTTACATTGAGCAGCTCTGTGTCCAGTTACTGCAAGGGGAGGGGGGGGGGGGGGCATGATAAAAAAGTAGAAATGTTTACAGTGAAATGAGAATTGGCATAGGATTTGGATCAAAATTTGATTTACAGTGGGTGTCTTCTCAGCCAAAAGGGCTCTTTCTTCAAACTCCTGAAACCGCCCCCCAACTCCCCTGCCTATAAGACTTTTTGGTAATGTATTTACATATAATGACAGATAGAAAAATCAAATCTAGGTTACTTTCATAGATATTGTAAGTTGTACTCACCCCTAAACCAGATGTTGGTATATCTTATCTTTTCTGACTTATCCAATTTTGAATAATTATTGATTAGTTAGGTATGCAAGATTTACTCATATCCTTGGCTCAAAATATTTTAGAGCAGAATTCTGATTTACATTTTTATAAAAGGAATGTTTTGTAATTTGCCAACATTTGAATAAGAATATGAAATGGATTTCAGAGAAAGAAAATGATTTAAGACTGTTTAATATTCTTTTCATTCAGTCATTATAGGGAGTAGGTACGAGGCTGTGCAACCAAATGCTACAAAAAGCTATCAAGTGCTTCAATTATTATTTTATTATACAGGTGTTTGAAGTGGTTCTGACATGCTAAATCCATGTTAACTGCTGTTACTGCACTGGAATGGAATGTTTTAATATCTTTGAAGGCAGCTGTAGTGAAAATGTTAAAAGGTGAAAACGTGCTTCTAACATTTCTGTCTGTAATTGCAAACATGTTCAATCAACCAGTCCAAATTGGATATTCTGGAGATGGAGGGGGGTATATTTAGGAAGTCAAGGGGAACAGTAGCAAAAAGCTCAGATTTTATTCATGCGTAAATTGTTTTGGAATAACTTCAACTTTATTCAAAATTGCCTGTGTAAACATGATATTTGGAGTTCTGCTGGCCCATGCATGTTTAGTAAATGAAGTGGAATTATTGTTAAGATTGATAATATTCATGTTACATTAATCTGATATACTAAACAGTTGTTAAGTATAAGGGTGCTATTTCAATAGCCTTGCTTGTTTATACTCACTTGTCATATTCACATAGGAATAATATTTGATAATGATTGAAACATTCAGGATTTTTTTTTTATGTTTATTTCGTTGAAAGATTCTATATTATCAGGCTAGAATAAGGCTTCGTTCACATGGAATGTCTATTTTCTAAAAATCTATTTTCTATTCGCGGTATGTCTTATGATCACGGTCTGTGCCCTGAATATCCCGCCGCGTAATTACTGGCAGCGTGAGCCAGTTACTTATAGTAACTTATAGTAACTGGCTCGCACTGCCAGTAATTACGCCGCAGGATATTCAGGGCACAGACCGTGATCATAAGACATACCGCGAATAGAAAATAGAATTTAGAAAATAGACATTGCATGTGAACGAAGCCCAAGGCACCACAGCATCTCACCATTTGGGGCTCACACCATCCCACACTTTCCTGCCATTTGCAGTTCACCATTAACAATTTTCTCTCGTAAAAGTCAAGTCCCTGGCAGCACTGGTCTGTCATGAAATGGCCGACCCTGTAACTGATCATTCAATTACTACTCAAAGCTGCAATAACAGTTCACTGTGTATATATCCTACTATATTGGTGGTGAAATTCCTCACCCTCTGAGTGGTCAGAGGCCTCAGAGACCACACCAAATGATCTCTGAGTTACTCCATGCTAACACAGAATACTACTCTGTTCTGTACTGGGCAGCAGCAGTGATGTAAGAGTACTGCTGTCCAGTAATATTGACCTTTGGATGTAAAAATAGCCTGGGATAGGATTGTAGTGGGCATGGGCAGCTAACAGTCCTGTAGTATTTATATGTATGTAGAGAGAGGGGTCTAAAGACCCCGAATATCAGATTGGGAAAGGTATCACCACCCCCACCCAGAGTTTCACATTTAGAGATATTTCAACCCTCAGTTTCTTATTATAGAGAGGTATCAACACCCTGAATTTCAGAATATAAAAATATTTCAATCCTTTAGTTTATTAATATAGATAGGTGTCAACACCCTGTGTTTCCCTGTGTTTCAGAGAATGATGGTGACTTATTGCAACCATGGGCAATGCTACTGATTACAGAGAAGGCTTCTGAATCTCAGGGTGATTTTAATGGTCTGTGCTCACAATGAAAGCGTCAATTTTTGAGGGTCCATTTTGAAACTGTATGAAATGGCAAATATAAAATGAAAATTACTGGACGCTCTCAAGTAGGTACTAGATTGCACAGTAAGTTAAATATAATACACTCACCAGATTTGCTCCATTCAAGTTTTTTTTTAAGTAATAATGAATGCAGGATATTAGCCATTTCTCAGTTTCTATAAGAAAAGGTCTAACACTAAAGTCAAGGTATACCAAGATAACCATAAGCTTGAATTATTTTGAGACACTGGAGCAAAATTTTACTGAGTGAGATTTACAACCAAGTCAGAAAAT